AACTTCCGTTGAGAAGGAAGTCAGTTTTACCAGTTGCCTTCGTTTTTAACCTAAAATTCTTTCATTTAAAATCAGAAATATTAGTTTTAAAAATTTATATATTTGACATCGATTTTCAATTAATTAGGAAGTGTGTCCAAAATCTCACACAGCCTATTCCTATATGAAGGCCATCATAAAGTTACTTAAACTGTTTTTAGAAACTGCTCCACAAATAGAACAGTCAATTTATAATTTTAACATTTGAAGAATTCTAAATGGAAAATTTAAATTTAAAGGAGTTATGAAAAATATAAGGTTAACAATAAATAATAATAAACTTAAAATTATACAAGGTTAATAAAATACATATAAATACATTAATAAGAAAATAATATACAAAAAACTATGAGAGTATAACACAAAAGCTAAATATGATTATAGGCGGCCCATAATTTAAGGGTACATAATTCTTATAAGACAGAGATATAATTTCAAGATATATATATTATTCACTTAATTACTGGTCAATAATACAGATGCGCTAAGCCATTGCTGAGACAGTTAGCATATAGCACTTTCCTGTGTGGAACCAAAAGTGTTTAAGCCCGTGAATAGGCTATAAGTGTTTAATTTTCCACATCTAACAACTCGTGTTTTTTATTTCTGAACAATATTTTCTTAATTCTAATAAGTTTTCCCCAGGAGCTGAGTGGATAAAACCATTGAACACTGGTGGAACACTGAACTCTAACGTGGGATTATTGATTGTGACATTGTCACAATGCTGGGCTGCAAGTATTCGTCACAATGTTCTCAATGTTTTAGTAGTGGTCTTACGCATGAGCATCATACATTATTCAGTTGCAATTTGAAAAAAAAGAATTAGCCTATAAATTAAGACTGTCATTCCCTATGTGTCTGTCTTCTCCTTATGTGTCTGTCTATGTGTCCTTAATCTCAAAGAAGGAGTTAGCAAAATGAAATTTTTGACCAGGTGGGGAAAGCTCATGGTTAGGAAGCCCAAGTTAACTGTACAAACTTCTGGTTTATACCAGAAGTTTGTACAGTTAACTTGGGCTTTCTAACCATGTAATACGAAAAAAGAAAAATAAATTTTTTCGTATTTTTACATTTATGTAAGAATGACCCAAAAGATTTTTAAATCTGTTTCATTGGTCATTCGGTATGATAAACCCTTACATAAGATAACATATGAAGGTTTATATATCAAGTACTATAATATAATATAATAGAAAAGTTACAAGTATGAAATAATCTATTCGATTACCTCGCACTTTTAATCTTAATCATTGGTGTTGTTATTTTTTTCCCGGGCAACGCCGGGCTCATCT